TACTACGTGGAGGTCCGTGAGAAAGGAAATCATCAGCAGGAACACAACCGATCTGAGACTACCAGGGAAACAAAGGCGAGCGAGGACCGCTGAATCCCAAACCTAGGAGGATGGGTCACTGACGATGAGTGATATGGATCTCAAGTCTGTGAACGCACTCAAACTCCGTCAACGCGCGCAAGCAAGTGAAGCGGTGATGGCCACGTCTGAGGCAGTAAAAAGTTTGTATACAATCTGCTGGATTGGGTTGAAGAACTCCTTGCATTGCAACATAGTAAAATCAAATTGATTAAGCCCGATATATTTTTCTATATTCTTTATAAGGTGCTCCAAAAAATATTTAACTCACTGTGCAGCGCAGGCTTGCCGTGCCAAAGACACCTTCCAGAAGCACATCGATGGTGTCCTCCAGAAGATCAGCAAGCTTCGATCCTTGGTGGCGGACTTGCAAAAGAACTATGTCGCAGAGGGAGCGCCCCATTTGTGCCTTCTCAGAAACAATGAATATGGCGAAGACGGTCATAGCCCAAATATACAACATTTAACCTTTGTGCTTTTGCGATCTTCCAGGTCCATCAAAGCTATCAATGTGGACTTGGAGGCCCTTGACAAGGACTATACCATACTGAGTGATCACATGGCCAAGGGTGAGAGGGACAACTTCAATGAAGCGTAGCTGGGACCTTTTTTGGTTGCATGGGTATGGTACTGTTGGCATGCAGTGCCAGTTTTTAGGGCAATGCAGGGATGCTTGATCTGTTCACCGCAAACGCAGCATTCTCTACAGCCCTTTAGTTAGGACAAACAAGTTTTGTCTTGGGACTTGTGCGAAGATGGTGTTTGTTTCGATCATCAGCAAAAGAACCCAGGTGGAACAAGGAGACTGAAGCTGTGATGAAGGCTTCGACTTTCACGTGCCTAGATTGCAACCTTCAAAACCGTCTAGGATCAACCAACCTGTTAAGCTTCCTAGTGTGCCACCTTCGCTTGACCAAAGTTATCACTTCATGAACATCAGGTGTTCCAAGATCCTGCAGAATGAGGCCAAGATTCGGCTCGGCGCTCAAGTACTTAACTGCCTCCACAGCACCAATTGCATGTTCCTGAGTTAAGCATCTTCATGAATACAAACCTGTCTTGGACCCAGGAGTGCCAAACGACACTTCCCGAAATTGGTCAAGGAAGAGCCTGTCAAGTAGTGAGGGCCAAATCTTTTCCCAGTTTTGAGGGGATGTCAGGTCTGAAAGGACCTGCTTGCGTACATTATCTGTCTGCCGGGAAGTGGGGTTCCAGTAGGCTTTGCATCCCAGTGGTAAATCCGTGTTAAACTTTTGCTAAAGCTCTGATGGTGCTGATTGAAAACCTGTTGATGGGCTTTGTGTTGGCACTATGTATGGCGGGATGCGGAGGGCCTCTGATGAAGATAAACTTAGCATCTCTGATTTGAAGCATTTAGCTTTGGCGCAAAAGGACAACAACCTTGCTATCTTTTTGGTGTACTCACCCTGGGAGATGATTGGGCTTGATATATTGGAGGATGTACTTCTTGCCCTAAATACTTCCTGGAGAAGGAAACAGTGTTCCGTGGGTGTGCCAGGTACAGCTGGAGCAACTTCGAAGCGCTTTGCTGCCAACGTTGGCCAAGGAGCCGCAAACTCAGACATACTCGTACCATTGCACCGTAGCCATCGCCACTCTTGGGACTCTTGGCGGCTCCCTGTGTCTACATTACATTCCAACACTTTGGACTGCAGGGTGCAGCAATCCTATTCGCTGACTGTTTATTAATTTCTGGTCTTAATCCTGAGTGCCCCAAACAAAAACAAATTTAAACACATTCACTATTGATGCTGCTTTGGTGACAGCCAACTGTACGATTGCATGGAACTTTGCCATGGTAATTGCTGAAAGCTCGTGCTAAAGCACCTGGAACCTGGAACTGCAAATCGGACATGTAGTTTGAATTGTCCTGCAGCACCTGCTCACGTTCTACGTCATGCTTCTCTTGTTGAACTAGTTTGATAGGGCTGCCACAATCTTGGTTGATGCGCCCATAGCATCACAACCCCTTCCTTGGTGGTCTTAATCAGTGGTTGCTCGCTATGAACCTCCATTTTGGGATTGATTTTGGCATCCCATACAATCGAAAAAAAGCTAACATGGTCAAAAGTCAAAGACTCATGTAATATAATGTTTGTTTGGATTGATCGAAGCAATCGACCCCTGGCTACAGATCGATTAGGGTGAGGTTGGGTCTTCATTTCTGGGATGCCATGAGTCAGTGTGCATGCGTGTGCACACACACACACACGGTGAGTTTGTCAACATTCTACAAGTGTGTAGGTTATCTCTTACACCTCCAAGGTATTCGATGCAAGAACATCTGGGCAGGTTGGGGCAGTTGATCCTTGAGGGATTTTATAACATTCAATCGTACAGGAAGCTACAGAGATCAATAGCACTATCAAGGTTAATGTGACTAGACATTCTGGAAGAGTGAGCTTGTGCGAAGACAAGTTGATTCCTTAGCGTTATCCATAAAACGTTCCTTGCAGTGCCCCGTTGCTTGCTGTGTTTAGTGTGCAGTGCTTGAGCGCCAGTCACCACCCCTGGTAAAGTAGGCGAGCGTATCTGCTTACCACGTCAAAGGTTCAATCCCTGGCGTTGGGCAATTCTGGTCTTCCGAGGCCAGCTGCAAGAGCCAGATCCTGACAGCGAAGGCTGTTGTTGAGGATGTTGGAGACGTTCCGGCAGCCAAGTGCGGGATGGATCATTGGTCCAACTGCTCACTGAAAAATTCAGAGCGAGATGCTCAGAAGGTGATGACAATTCAAAAGTCAAAGTTGGATGTTCCTGTAAGCCATCTTGTTTTCAATGGTACATCGATCCCATGGATTGATCCCCGGGATTGGGCCCGATGGATTCTGAGAATGGGTCTTTGGCCTACCCTTTCAGGGGCACCACGCAATGACTATGTTTCATCTGAGGGGATTTGGAGACAATTTTGGAAGCAGTACAGGGAGCTATGCCCAGACTTCTCTTTATTCAGGATGGAGGGTATAGATCTTGCGAAGACTGCTGGCATTTGTCTTCATGGCGATGAAGGGACAAGCCTCAAGCGTCAGGGAATAATGGTGTGCAATTGGCAAAGCATTCTTGGTCGAGGTTTTGACGACAAACGGGTGCCCAGGGTGGATGACCGAGGCGTGTGGCAAATGAGGGTAAACTTCACAGTGCATACGCACACGCACCGGCTGCTACTTGTGTGCATGCCCAAGAAGTTGTATGAGGCCGACTCCTCCGTTTTCCATTTTGTGATGGAACAGATTTCATTGGCATTCAAAGACTTGCTTACCTCTGGGATTCAAGATCCAGTGACAAAAGAAGTTCTCAGATTCGCTGTGATTTGTGCCAAAGGGGATGCTCCATTCCTGAGCAAGCTGGGGACCTTGTTCCGGTCATTCAATTCATTTGCGAAACGCGGTGATGCGCGCCGCCCCCCAAAGGGAGTATGCCATCGATGCTTAGCTGGCGCGACTGGCTTTCCAGCTGAGGAGCTTTCAACGAGGCACCCACGCTGGCTAGACACCAGGGGCGTCAAAATGCCTTGGGTTCAAACCCCAGCAGTGATCCTACACTTGCCGCATGATGAACATGACCCAAGTTCCTTCTTCGCCTCAGACTGTTTTCACATTTTTCATCTTGGTGTTGGCAAATCCTGGATTTCTTCGGTGGTGATGTTACTTCTTGAAGTCTTGCCTGGATCGAATATCGATGCACAGTATGATTACTTGTCAAGCAGCTACCTTCACTGGTGCAAAAGAAACAAGCAGCAATCGCATGTGCATGCGTTGACGCAACACCTGATGAGTCACAATGACTACACAGGTCTGACAGGAAACTGGCACAAGGGGGCTCTCACGACCAGCCTGATGCGTTTTTTGACAGACTTCATCCCGCAGCTTCAGGTGGACCAAAGACAGTTGTTGCCCGAGTGCCTGCAAGCAAGCAAGGCTGTTAACCAGATGTATTCTGTTATGTTCCGCGCTGCTGCATTTTTGACAAAGGAAGAGTGTACAAAGGTGGCTGACGCTGGTTTTCTTTTCCTGGCTACGTATGCCAAGATGGCATTGATCCAGTACCATGTGGGCAAACCTCATGCGTTTCCACTCTACCCGAAACTCCACGCACTGGCAGAAATCCTTTGCACAGTCCACTATGACTCTTTGAGAGTGGGTTATGCTCTAAATCCCATTTGTCACTCATGTCAAATGGATGAGGATTCGACTGGAAGGACAGCACGATTGTCTCGGCATGTGAACTCACGCAGAGTGATGGCACGAACCATCGATCGGTGGTTGGTGGGTGCATGCGCAGCCTTCAGAGATGCCGGACTTATCATTTAGGCCAGGAAAAAGGCGTGCTGGATGGGAGAGTTGCACAGGATTATATTGTGTGAACACAAGAGTTGTAGATTTGAACATTCTGAAAACCTATGTTTTTTAAGAAAACCTGTCTTTTCTCCTCCGACTGAAAAAAAGCAGGTGGCTGAGGCCGTAGGTATATATAATTCCAAAAACTTGCACACCAAACGAGCCAGAAGAAACGATTGGACATTTGACTACGGTTGGGTTGGAGTGCACCATCACTTGTGGCATGATGTCCCATGAGTCGCAGTGGGGTGGCAGTGGTGTGTCAAGCTTGGTACTTGGGGGAGCTCAGTTTGGACAATGGCAAGATCATTGGGAGTGGAGAACCAGGTTCCATGGCACACCAACTGGTGACACACCAATGAGAGTCGCTCAGCGTTTAGCGGACGAAGCTCGCTTTCTTGGCCCCAACGGGGTTTCACAACGATTCCCGGATTCGGGGTTTCACAAGGCAAAGAAAAGCGCAAAACAATTTACAACGTTTGAGAATTGTTTCTGCCTTGGATTTGAAGAATGACACGTTTTCGCCTTTGCCCTTGAAGTCCACCCAACCACACCGATGTGAAAAAGGCAAAAGCCCGGATCATCGTGAAAGAGACCTTCACCGCACCCACACAAGACAGGCTGGTTCTGAGTGTCGGCTGGAGCCAGGCGGGAACCATAATGGTTATACCAAGTTCCCGACGACCTTTGCCTTTTTTTAAATAGAAGACATGTAAAAAATAACCAAACATGTAGTAAAATACGTTCCTCTACAAACCGGTGCCTGGCTGGAAGCACCACAATAATAAAGTGGTCCAGGAGCAGGAATCTCCTTCGAACAGGTGTGTCATGTCCAATCATGATTGCTTTATTGCATTCTCTCTTGGGCAGTATGATGTGATGCTGTAGCAATTGAGGATTGTACCTTGATTGGCGAAAGGTTGCCGACTGCTTCAGTTGGCCAGTTTTTGTATTGCCAACCTCTTGGAAAGTATGTACAACACAGATACATCAAATTGAATGTCAAGTCCAGACAAATGGCGTTTCCTTTGTTTAATGTCAACCCCGCATAAAGAACCCCCCACGCAACGTGGAAGGTCAACAAAGTGCTCAAGGTCAGAGGTGCAACATGTCATTCCACTGCCCCTAATAAATTGGCTAGCATGCCCCTGTTCTTTCATATGCGATTGAAGCCCTTTCACTTAAAATCGAAGCTAACTCTTTCATGTTCAATGAATACTTGTTATTTTTTTGTGAGAATGAGGAAGTTGCTTGTGCCATTGACATGCTGCACGCAACGAAGTTTTTGCTAATAGGACATCCCGGACGAAAAGACAGCAACGAAATGACACGCTACAAGAAAGGCCTGAGACAAAGGCGACAAAAGATTTAACATTGGAATTAACACAATTCAGGCGTATGTAATTAAACTGACCAGCCTTTGTGGGGGGTGCTTTTTGTGAGCTTGTTTGTCAGACGATTGATTTGTGTAAAGAACTTAGGAACTCAGAAAAGACTGAGAAACATCTTCTCTATTTAGAATTTAGAAGTAAGAAAGTTGTGATTCGTGCTTGGCTCAGACTAATTAGCGATGTTTTGCAAAGATTCATGCTTGTCCAGCGGTGAACATTATGGTGTTTAAGGCTCAGAATTTAAGGTTTCTAAGGGGTGGATCTGTGATGCGGTTAAACACATATATAATCAATCCTGCCAGACCGTGCAGACTCGACTCACTTGTTGCCTGACCCGGACCGTCCACTAGACCGGATCTCAGTGCAGCAGGCAGCCTTCTAAGGCCATCTTGTCAGAGCTTCCAGCACTTTCCGTATGAAGTTGTTTATATATTAACCCTATTCCCCGCAGCGGAGACAAATTCAACGGACTCTTTCCTCCAGACCCCACTCTGGAGCCGGTGGTTTGCCTTTCTCCCACAGTTGCTCCATGATTTGCCAGTTGAAGGCAGTACACGGTTTGCCAACACCAAGTGATGCAGGGTCTTCAGCTCCTTCGACATCAATCGCGATGAGCCAGGGAAGCCCAGTGGACTTTTCCGTATCCGATGGTATCCCAGAGGCAATGACCATATAGCGAGTCCATCCAATTGGATGCTGGGCACCAATGACCATATAGTTGGATTCCAAGAGTCTGAAAGAACTTCTCGGACACTGGATTTCAGTGACACTGAGGCAGGAACCATCCACCCTTTAAAGATTTTTTTAAAAGGAAACTTGTTCAACCATTATTTGACACCAGTGTTGTTGGCAGTGCTAACTTTGTGTGCTCTCCGCTCGATTCTGAAGGTTCCTCAGGGTTTGCCGTTGTTGCTCCCAGGAGCGCGATGCTCCCAAACTTGCTTTGCGATCTGCTCACGTGGTCAATGTGTTGCGCCCTGCAGTGCGAGTCACAGAGCTTTCCATCGCACCGAAGTTCCTCGCGGCCTTGCTTCGTTTCGTTGAAGAACCGAATCCAGCTTCGCAAGCGGCAGAGTCCGACAGAGGCAGAGGAATCCTTTGAAATCACCCTGACCCCAAACGAACTGGTTGCGATGGCCACTGGTCTGATACTCATGGGTCATTTTCATGCAATGGCATGCAATGGCCACGTTGCGGGGTAATTCAAGAATGCATCGCCTTCGCGGGGCTCAGAAAGTGGGATGCTTGTAGCCCAAGCATGCCCAAGCGGGACGAGCGATGGCCAGCAGGGGTCTCAAGATGCCAAATCCGATGTCAGTCTTGGCCTGAAATCAGCTTGAGAGGCACTTTGATTGCTGCCAAATGGGAAAGATGAGTCGGAGTGGACTTGACACCGTTTGGGATGATGAAGGCTCCTGAATGGATGATTGATATCGCCATCGCAGAGACGCTTGGGGGTGAGATTCCCTAAGAGGGGACATGTGTGACCCAAGGCTAGCCTTGGCGGTGGATGCAATTTGTGTTTGCTCCTCACATATATCAGAACAATTCCGAACATATTTGAAGTCAGGATCCCGGAAGGGACATGCCAGCCTTGTATACAGGGACCTTAGGCGGAAAGGTCCAGACGGCAAACTGACTAAAGTGTTTGTCACGAAAGCTAGCATGCTAGCTGAGTTCTTCTTTGCTTTAGCAATGTTGTGGTGGGAGGGGCTGCGTGCCTTAAAGATTGATATATCAAGCTAACCCCCCCCCCCCGCGGTTCAACTCCCAGCTGCGCCGTGTAGGGGGTTGGTTGAACGTGTGAACGTGGTTGGTTGGGTGCAACGGTGGCTTGGTGTAAAGGGTGCTGCTGCTGCTGCCGCTCTGCTGCTTGCTGCTGCTGTTTGCTGCTGCCGCTGGTTGCCGCTTTTGTAGCTGCTGCTTTGCTACTTGTTGCGGCTTGGTGCTGCTGCTGCTGCTGTTGCTGACGACGCCGCTGCTACTGCTGCTTGCTGCTTGCTGCTTGCTGCTGCTGCTTGCTGCTTGCTGCCGGTGGTGCTTGCTGCCGGTGGTGCTGCTGCTGCTGCGGCTTGATGCTGCGCTGCTGCTGCGTGGTGCTGCTGGCTGGCTGCTGGTTGGTGGTTGCTGCTGGCTGCTGGCTGCAGGCGGCTGCTGCTGCTGCTGGCTGCTGCTTGCTGCATAGGACTTGTACTTCACCGTTACAAGTTGTTTACCCCTATTTCTAACCTAATGCATGCATAAGCGGGTGGTAAATTTACCCCCCAGGCTTGCTATAACCATACACCGGCTATTTCCTCAAGACACTCTATTCTTGATACCTTTTACCAGTGCTTATCCTACACTACGGACGCCCTAGTGTATGCACAGTCCTTGTGATGCTTACCCCTCGTTCCGGCTCAAGGCATACATAAGCGGGGGGTAAATTTACCCCCCAGATTTGCCATAACCATACGCCGGCTATTTCCTCAAGACACTCTACTCCTTCTACCTTTTACCCGTGCTTATCCTACACTACGGACGCCCTAGTGTATGCACAGTCCTTGTGATGCCAGAAATGCTTACCCCTCTTTCCAGCGCAAGGCATACATAAGCGGGGGGTAAATTTACCCCCCAGATTTGCAATAACCATACACCGGCTATTTCCTCAAGACACTCTATTCCATATACCTTTTACCCGTGCTTCTCCTACACTACGGACGCCCTAGTGTATGTACAGTCCGTATGATGTCAGAAATGCTTACCCCTCTTTCCGACTCAAGGCATACAAAAGCGGAGGGTAAATTTACCCCCCAGATTTGCCGATCACGCATCTTCGTGCCTGCCAACGAGTGCACCCGGGTTGTTCCAATGTACCCTTCCCAGTCAGCGATGTCACATTTACATTCTTTAGCGCAAAGTATGTACATAGCAACCTTCCTCCCAAAACATGTCATCCCTACATGCTTTGCCGACTATGTAACTAGTACATCCGGTGCGATTCGGCTAGCTTTCGACCTCTCCCCCTGGCCTCAAGTAGAGTATTAGACCTTGTTACACAAGCGGTTTTTCATAAGTTTTTGGGGTATGTTCAACAAGGAGCTCAACAGCCTGAGGAAGCGTTTGTGCATGTTTGCACTTGAAGAATTGTTTATTGGTGCAACATATATAACATATAAAGGAACATAAAGGATGCCATTGCGGGAGCAAAACCAATTCATTTTGGATCCAGACGCTCCAAAATGACCTGCAAAGTATGGACTAGTGACTGGTGTATACTTAACCACATTGACCCCTTTTCAACCACCCCAAGGCCTGATCAGTGCCATATCAGCGGGACCTGTGTGACGCTTGTGTGGCGAGCCAAAGTCATCGGTTTACCGCAGGTTGCCTACTTGACTCACCGAGGAACTCGCTGGAACCACTAGGGCAGCATGGTGAACCTGCAGGGGATTCTGTTCCCCTGGGGTGTGACGATGGACGATGCAGACCATTCCCACGCTTGGCCAGCGTCACATGCCATTGCAGCATCCTTTTCGGACCTGGACAATTTGTTTTGCTGGCAGATGTCCCGCAAGTTTGCAAGGAGTTGACAATTTGTTGAGGTTAAAGAAGGATCTGGAAGGATTGAGACGATGTTATCGCATCATCAACTGTTCTGTTGCTCAGATTGAGAAAGCTTTGCAACCTCAGTCTTGTAGCAAGATGTAGCAAAGGACACCCCAGCTCCTTTTCGTCAGATGACTCATACGATGATCTTGAATGCACAGGGACAATCACAAGAAGCAGCAAGGACGCTACTAGGGGCTCCTGGCCTTACTACCAGGAGCAAGAAGCTACTAGGGGCTCCTGGCCTTACTACCAGGAGCAAGGACGCTATAGGCTTTGGTTGACTTGTTTGGTTCGTTTGGTAGGGTCAGAGTCGGTCTCCTGACGCTAAGTGGTGTTTTAACTTGATCAACAGTAGGTCGTGTCATGTCCACTGTCCACCTGACCTTACACCTGGCCTTTTTGCACGTTTGCTCAAAGGTTATAGCAACCCATGTTGATCCAGTTTGCCTTTCAAACAATCACAGTTCCATGACCTCGGATGACCTCGGTGAGGGATTTCTCAGTTCCCTCCTTTTGTCGTCCATGTCGATGGGTTTCCTCAGGTTGAGTACGTCAGAGGATCGCTTCTCGCACGCGCCCCTCGAAGTACTTTCAGGGGAGGGTCCGCAGGTCCACGGCGCCGATCGATCGCTTCAGGCTCCTGGGGCGGAACTGTGGGTATGTTTCATGCTAAAAGGGCACTGTGTGGAACGCGGTGAAGATGAATCGCCGATACCTTGTGAATCCTCTAAAACGAGGGACAGTCCAATGTCCGCCCTCAATCTAGGACAATGTCCAGGCCATCCATATGTGGAATACTTTGAGTAGTTTGATATAGTTACATACATCCAAAATTACCTCAAGACATGTTTTTTTTGAATTCCCTCGTGTAAGTAACTCTAGTAGTAACATGTAGTAACTATATTATTCCATACATGGATGGTCTGACAGAGGGGTGTCTTGAACACCGGGGTGCTGGAGGAACTACCGGACTCCAAGTCCCTAGGGGCCATTGGCCCAGTCGTGCTGACGAAGGAATTGAGCGTGGTGGGACACTTGGTGCTAAGTGGGTTGACTCTATAGAAGAACCGCCCAAATCTTTGCTTGAAGGAAAACATTCTGCACATATAGCATCATATAGCCATGATTTGCAGTTGGTCCTTTACGCCAGTCTGAGGAGATGAGCAACCCTGGAGACTCTTCGACTCTTCCACTCGGACATCGCAAAATTGCTTTAAGGGAAGATCTATAGGAACGCCCGAATCGTTTTGGAGGTGAAACGCATTGATTTCCTATGGAGGTGAACATCCCTTGAGAAAAAGCGCCAAGGCTCCGCACCGCCATCTGCGATGTGCCCTTGGGGGAGCTCAGGGCAGCAGACGAGGAGGGACTCTCAGGGACTCGCGAGAGCCTTGAGCGTTCGAAACAGGAAACGCATTGAATAAAACAATAGACTCAGGGATCCACGGGTTTGAGTCATTGCATTCCAACCACGAAGGTTTGGTTTGGTACCTATTTGTCCCCGGATTTGCAGTGGTAACTGGATACACTGCGCATTGGGTGAACTAGCCCGATTAAGAGCTCCAACCGGGTATTGAAGTTAAAGTGGACCCTCCCAAGAAGTCTTCATGTAGTAATTGTCACACGGAATTGAATACATGAGGCATCGAACACACACTTGAGAAAATGCGTACTGACTCGAAAGCGGTTGCCACACGCCAGCCTAAGTGAAAAAACCTAAGAGGCCAGGTAAGTGAAAAACGGTAATCCTCCAATGCCTCCGAAAACAAGTTCAAGTTCAGGTCCCAAGCTCACGAAAGTTCCAGGGTGAATCGCCGATGCACTAGCCCTTTACAACAGCAAGACGGAATGCAGAAACAACATATTGGACAGCTTTTGCCATACTTAGTTTTTCAAAAGCAGGTACACCAGGTTGATCAGACCTGGCTTCCACTATCACGCATAGCTTCGTTGGCATGCGTTTGCGTGATAGCCGCATGCCCCCTGCTATCACTCAAAAAAGATCAAACAAGTACAAATCCAAATCCACAGGGATCCCTGTGATTCCAAGGGTGACACACACACACACGCACATGAGATCAAGTGAGGCATGATAACCCGTGCTTCTTCATTGCTATGGGTGTTAATATGTGATCCACAATCCCACACCAGCTGACGCACCGATCCACCGTTCTCATGCGGGCAGAGGGGAACTGTTTCCTACTTCGAGGTGATGACGGATGGCTGGTCCACCGTCAGAGGGGGCATCATGTGGCCTCACATGATCAGCAGTCAAAATTAAATAAGTCAAAACATTCCAGCAACAAGTTGAAGAGAGGTTAATGTATGATCAGTTCTTGAAAACTAATTCTCATGCATGAAAGCATGCGACAGCTCAGGAAAGCTTTCCACCGTGTTTTTGCACAGAATGTCGCCGCCGAAAGCCAAAACGCAAGCCGCGAAAGTGTTGCAAACGGAACTAGTGAAAGAAGAGCTCATTACTGTAGAACAATTGTCCATAGGTTTTGAACAACCCTCACATCGGCATCCAGCTCTAGCTCAAAGCCAGTGCAGTACGACTTGACAGGCTGGAACTCACGAGCCGTGCTCACCACATGTATTCACTCTTGACCAACACCAAGGTCGCTTGGATTCAACAGACAAATTTTCAGGGAGGAACGATGTTTGTGCAGCCTGTGGTTTCCGTTAGGTTTCGTTGTGAAGAACCACTGGACGCCTATTTATACTGCACAACTTTGATTGTCGATCATGGTTTTAACAGGCAGCACGTCAAAACAAAAAAAATCCATTCCCTTTGAGACACATCGCTCCAACAAACCCAACTCCCCCGGACCACTTTCTTCACTTCGAGGGAGATCCACCATGCCTGGATCTTTTCTTGTCTTGCAGGCTGGATGAGGGCAGCCTGCGCGATGGTCCAAGAATTCAACCAGCTTCGAGATTTGGCTGGCTCTTTTGAGGTTCCCTTATCTGTTCGTATTCGGACATCACCCTAAATTAACATCCAGTCCTTTTGTCAAGAAGGTTCGTGTTGTTTGTCTTTGTATACTTTTGGTGGGTACAAAGACCACATACCTCTCGCCAGCATCAGATATTCCAAAATTAATGAGATTAACATGTTGCTACTTCTTGCCCGTTTTTCAAACACTCCTAGGTCCTAGGATGTTCCTGGACTCCCTATAAATATATATATATATACTAGATCACTGGTCCACACTGGTGGCGGTATAACATGTGCACGTCCCAGGGGGCTATGGCCTGTTTGGGTAACAACGTATCTTTGTGACTGCAACAGGGTTATTGGGCCAAAGATAACAAAGTCTCTTTGCAACAACTGGTTCTGTGCCAACCGTAGGGGTATCTATCTACTGTGAGTCTTGAGCCACGTTAGTTCCAGGCAAAGATGGACACACTCAGGTTCTTCCCGGAGCTCATGGGGTTTTGAGTCGGCCAGCTGGGAACCTCGCGGCGATCTGGCGGTGTGGCGGATCAAACGAGCTCTTTGGATCAAAAGAGCCGTCAGCCACACTGCCTACCTGGGCTGAAGGTGAAACTTGGATGAACACATTACACCCTTTAAATCTATTTACTGTATATGAATCTATTTAATATACTTGATGATTTATTTTACTGTGTACAATAATAGACTATATATATCGTTTAATATTGACTTGAACCAACAGCAGCATGTCCGATAGAGGATCCAAGAGAGCCTTGTTGGTTGACACTTGGTTGCTTGCAGAGATAAACACCTTGCTGCGCTCAGTTCGCCCAGGAATAATAGGTTGGGTGGCTCTTTTTCCCCACCAAGTGGAGGAGCCAGCACGACCGCTGGTGTGAGGCCACCGGCGGTGACCGGGTAGAAAAAACAGTGAGAGAAAGAAGGGATGGGTGGCTTACGTTTTTGCGAGATTTGGTACTGTTGTTGTCTTTGGCCAGACTTCTTGATCGTCTCCTCATGGGCGAACGGAGCCTCGTTTGATGATGAATACGGGTCAATTGGACATCGGTTGATGATTTTGGGGAATCCTCTCACACAACAGGCCGACTCCAGATATCCAGTTTCCTCCCTCCTATTCTCCTGGCCGCCAATATGGTATCCGTAGGTTTATGATTGGAAGGTTCGCACAAGAAGTTATGCCATGTCATGGAAACAAACTAACAAGGGGTCTACGCTCCAATAACCCTTATTAGTTTGACTATGTGTCTGGCAATCTTTGTATTGATGTCCCTCCATTGAGTGAACCCAATCGGCAATGGACTGAAGGGATCGGCTTAAGAGTTTCTATTCACGGAAGGATGAGCCTGTTTGGCCACCATTGTGTATAGCCAGCAGGGTGGCCAACTCTCATAATTGTTCAACACCAGTGTGGTGGTTTTTGGGCGGGTTTTAGCAAAACAAACAAACATGTTTGGGGGTTCTAGACTAACCACAAGCCACATAAACTTTCTTTTGGGAAGGCTTTGAATTTCGCCTGGCTTGCTTTAAGCCGATTAGTATACTCTCCTGGTTTTCTCGTTGGCAAGCAGGTCTGGACCAATTGGCCTGAAGAGTCGGACATGTGGTTCATCCACTTCACACTTCAAGATGGTCCAAACATGTGCAAATGCATCCCATGTGTCCCAACAGCCACAAGAAGACGCTTCGACCAACGCATCGGTTCGTGGCCAACACGATCGTCCGAACGCTTGTCCGGACGCCACCATGGCGCTGGTGCCTGCGGACAACTCGTGGGGTCCCCAGACGAGGCGGTCGGAGGCCCGCTGGAGCGACAACAGGCGCGGTCGGAAATGGATTGGAATTCCAGATAGAAACGAGCCCGTTTTGGTTTAGAAAGGTCTTGCAACGTCATCCACTATATAGTATATGACCATACCGGACCATACCATATACAAAGAGAATCAAAGAGAGAGGTTTGAAGCGATGAAACCCTGAGCAAGAATCCTCAGGTCTGCCAAACCCTGAGCTGCTCGCTCTACAGAAGTGACCTTCTCCCCAAAGTTGTAGACCCTGAGAGCCGAGGGATGCAGACCTCAGCGACGCCGTTTTTCAGGTCAGTCACATGGTGTTTTCTTTAAGAAGCGCGTTTTTCACAACAACGAAAAACCCAGCGGGGCCCGGAGTTCCTGGTCGGGGCCCGGTGGGACACCGGTGGGCCCCTCCAAGGTTTGACGTAGCTTCAAACCCTCGAGGCCGAAGGCCGTGTCAGAACAGCTGCTGAGGTTTCTCTCCTTGCTGAACGTCGAGAGAAAGCAAGCACTCGATAGACAGAAGAAGCGAGAGGAGATTTGGGTGTGTCTCATTACCAGCAATAGTCGGTTAAAGATTTTGTCATAATCACCGAAAATGGAAGGGCAAACAAAAACAATCATCGTCCATTGCGCCTTTGTACCAAATGGATCCAAGTGGGACGATATATGCAACAAACAGGCAGCGATCGTTCGTCGGTTTGGAACGGGTCGCGGGTGTACCGGAACCCGGAACCCGGTACCGCCCGGGTTCCCCGCGTCGATGGTACTATTTATGTACATCTATGCACCTATTTTGATCTTTCATGTCTGGTTGTTTTTGGATGATGCAGTTTTTGTTGCCCTGGAGTGTGGACTAGATTCATCGCTTGTCGACGGCTACAGTTTGCTTCTGGCCATGTCGCACCTGTCCATTAAACAATAGACTCCAACATGTAGAGTCCAGTGACGCTCAACCGAAAACAAACCTACGTCGTGGTGCTTGGAGTTCCGGTCCATTTTTTTTGCGGTGCGTTTGCACAAACATTTGGCTCAAAAAGCTTTGGTGAAAGCGAGTTGAGCCGAGCCGTGAGGACTTGCTGGAAGATACAGAGCATGGGCCAAAGATCCTGGGCCTTCATCAAGATCTCCAGGACTGGTCCAGCCGGTTCGGTCTCAGCTCACCTTTCTGGGACCGGTCCATGGAAGGTGGGAAGTGAAACACTGACTTCTTTGAGGTGATGCTGTGACTTCTGGGGTATGTTTTGGGCAATTTCCATCGTTTTGAGAGGACATGTAGTCACTTAGTCTTGGCTACATCAGTGAACAGTTGTTGTTCTTTTGGCTGTCACAGCAACAGACTAGCACATCATATGGCATCACTCTCTTCAAGGAAGAGGAACCCAATCTGTTGACTCTTGAATTGTGTAATGAAACAAAAAAGGAACAGGCATTAGCGGCATTAGCTCACAATTGCTAAAGCATAGAAATGAGATGAAATGAGTCATCATGAGAGCCCCAAAGCTTTCATTTGGTCACAACATCTTATCTTGTCACATCATACATACATGAATGAAGCATCCACAGGTTTTGCATGGATCGAGGGTCCAGGTCAAAGGCAAATTCTCAGAAGTTTTCGATCGGGGCCTATTTGGAGACAGAAGAAACGCCCATGGGGTCATTGTACCGTTTGTCCGGCTACTTTTCCATACTTTTCCTGTGGTAAGTTTGTGCGTCTCAACATGGGCAATTTTCGGAAAATGGCAGAGTTTTTGCAGATAATTACGGAGTTATAATGAGTATATAATGAGTCTAATGAGTTACCTATGGAGTTACAGTATATACAATGGTCCTATCGTTTTTTCCCTGATAGCTTAGCTCCTCCGCTCCGCCAGGCTTTATCTGATGTGCTTGACGAACGAGTCGAAAGCAAGCTCAGTGCCAACGAGAAGGCGGAGCTTGACCGACTGGTCGCTCCAGCGATGCCAAGGGACTGGTCGGACGACGCAAACACACAGCGAGAGATCGGAGCGCCCTGGACAGAGTCCTGTAGAGATTATGTACTTTATTGTAGAGCCTAGGCCTGGGAGCATGCGATGTTACATGTTACTTTATGTTGCAAAAGGCACGGCCTGGCGTTGTTGGGGAAGCTGGACGATACATATTTTTTGCGGGGGTAGGCAAAAAGAAGATTGGCAGTAGCTTTGATGGTTGGAATGCCGATCCATATTTACTGCAGCTCTGCGCATGCTTTGTGCTTTGCCGCCCATCCAAAGTGCAACAGCGTCATGAAGTGTGTCATATGGTTGATTGAGTGGTGCAGGCAGTGCAGGGTGTTGCATGCAATTCATGCCTGTGTAACTGTTGCTCCATCAGTAGAGGGTCAGAACTCACCAGAATGCCCAGAACTCTCACTCACCCTGGTAGCTTGTAGGTCGTCTAGTCTGTTCCTTTTCGCTGGGTTTGCCCTCCGACCGGTCTCCCGGGGCCGTCGCCGTCGCCGCTCGGATGGACGGACGGTGATCCCTCCGTGGTTGGTCTCTACCCTCCGTGGGACCGTGGATGGTCTTCTAATGTCCTCGTTCGAACGTGCATTTTGACTCTATCAAATGCCCTCATGGGAACTCCCTCATTCTATTATAGAAAGTAAGCCTTATTCTCATGTTCTCTTGCACAACATGGGGATTGTTTGACATCTTTAGCCTTGCGAAGGCGTGTTCCAAAGTCTTCACAGCTTCAGGGTAGTATGATCACACTCATTTTTGTCAGTTATACCAAGAAGTGGCATATGCCTACTACATTGACGGCTGAAAAACCACCCCAATGCAGGTAAATATGCCATACATGGAGACATGGAGTGCCTGGGATAGGTGTAGCTGAGAGCTGTTCATGGGAGCAGAACAGGGCCTCCAGCTCATCTGATGCCCGCTTCAAAATCATCAAGATGTGGCCATACAACCCGCAAGTTGTTGACGATACTCATCTACAAATTATATTATATATATATATATAGATGTGAACTACTGGGGCACTGACATGACATGACCAATACTTTAACTTAACTTGGTCCGTGCATTGCAGAATTGGATGACTGCAGGGCTGGTCCCTACCCGTTGAGGATGAGTTGGAGAGCAATCATGCTCGGGCTTCAAACTCCCAAAGGGATGCCTGGATCTGACTTTGGAGTCATCTTTGTGAGACCCTGTCAACGATGCCTTCATGCTAGGCCTTCTTCGTGGCCTATAAGAGCTTCATGCTTCGTGGCTGTTTGGGTGCGTCTGTTGAAGCATATGAGGGTCTGGGTTGAAACAACACACCTCAAACCCAAAGCATGCTATGTGAACATGTGCCGGATAAATAGACAAAAACACAAAACATGGGAGTGTCAGAGTGTAGAAGGGTCCACCACGATGTGAAACAAAAAATAACATGTTCCCAGCATTGTTGTATGCCGCTATAGGTCATGTAAATGTAAACAACCTTGATCCAACCCACATGTAATGCAGTTTCCAGGGACAGATGTGAGGGACCCGGTTTTGTGCATGATCGACGTAGCAACTTCATCGTTTGTTGTGCCAGTTGTGTATGTGTGTGTGTGAGTTACTTGTGTTTGTGCGTGCTGTTATTGCTTTTTGTATTTCTTGCTTAATGTGTGTTCATAGTTTTGCTTCTTTGATTTTTTGCTTTTGCCTGTGCTTACTCTTGTTGGTGGTGGTGATTCTTGCGAACAGACCTGGACTGTGGCATCGTGGACTGGTGACATCTCTGTGTTTGTTGTTAGCAGTCCTATGGTACTACTAATGAGGGGGTTGTAGAAAGAACATGGACAAACTCAGAGATGATGGTATTTCAACAGTTATTTTTGTGTGCCTCGTTGTTTGTTTGTGTGATGTTCATTCTCAGGTTCACAGTGCAGAAAGAGTTTAAAGAGCTCAAGCAGAAGGTGCTGGGAAGATCAGTATCATTCCGCGAACCAGGAGGTGCTCGTCAGCTTACATTATATATCATTATATTTGGTGTGGTGCTCGTCGCCTGGAAATCCTCAAGAAGTCCAATACAAGACATGTTGTCAGGGTACATCCACCTGTCAGTTATTTCCTTCATTCAAACCTGGAGAACTGTGTCTTAACGACTCAACACACTTGTCGTTCATTCAGAGAACCTCGGATCAAGTGTCGTTCCCAGTCCTCTGACTTCCGGTTTGACTTGAACGATAATGCGACTGCGAAGCGTTGTCCAGTTGAAGATACTGGTGCTTGTATAATATATATATACAATGTATATAAATAAACAGAATTATACATAATATACAGAGGCAGGAGTGTTGCAAGAGACGTTCTACCCTTGTCAAAGCAGCGACAAACATTTGATCCACATGTCCTTCTTTCTATGACAAACATAATAGATCTCACGGTGGGATTGCATAGGCTGGACAGGTGGGTCAAGGTATATGATTTCACAATAACCCATAAGATCCCATAAGCGTTTGTCATTGTTTGTATTTTTGTCCAGAGGATTTGTGGATTTCATGCCCAAAGACAGGCCTTTTGTTGTGCGTTAAGCTGATTTGCCTTGCCTTTTTGATTGTAAACCTTCACGCTAGTGTGTTGAGATTGGGACCTTTTGTTGCAGAAGGAATGGATAAACTACGCATGTTTTATTTGAAGATCTTTGTGTGTGCAATGTCTACCATTCCACGTTGGGCAAACAGTTGTTCGACGTTGGGAAACAAAGATGAGTGTCAAAGCTGCAGAGGAGTCTCTTAGTGACAAGAGTTCTAGAGTTCAATGTGAAAGTTGGTTGATCCAAAAGGGCAACTTATTCATTCTCTTGTATTCTATCGTGGCAAATGAGGTGAAACCATTCATTCCACGTTCCATGGATATCCGTGTCTCACACTGTGCAGAGGTCGTGTTTTTCCCGTCAGGCTGACGAGGAGGAGACCAAGACGAGAAGAGATGCAAAGATCCAGTCACTGGAGAAGGAGAGGATTTACAAGAACTGGCAGAGTTGTTGTTTGTTCTGATCCTCCCAAAGAGACAGGAATAGAACGTGTTCTATAATTATTATGTTCTATAGTTCTATACTAGTTCTATATGATGTGTTTTCAGAGTTCATTGTTTTTTTTTCATGAGGCGACTTGCTGTTCCAGTTGTTTTGAGGTGACATTGCTTTTTGTTTTGGAGGATGATAGAACTGATACACTCCAAAACCTATCATGTTAACCTGGAACATATGTTTTCTATTCTCCTTGGGAAGAAGAACACTTTGGGGCTTCTTTCTGGCAGCCAGCCTCATGGACTGAGTTTGTTTCTTGAGAGCAGTAGTGGAGTAGTTGTTCTGAGCTATGCCAAGTTGCAGAAGTTGGAAGAATGGGATTGTCAATGACATTCTTTTTAATGTAGGCTCTTGATCCATCAAGCCCTCCCCCCATTTGGATTGCAAAACCTCTTCACGTCACATGGGGAGTTCTATTAATCAAGAGTCTTTCTTTATTTTTGACATAAAAATGTCCTTCACTGACTAGGGCTGGACTAAGAATACGGAGATCATTGACAAACTCATCATACAGTTTAGGGAGGCAACCAGTATTTCAGTATTGCTACATATTGACCCAGTTTTAATAGAGGGCGGGGGACTGTGGGCGTCCCATTTTTTCTCATTTCATAGGTCTTTTTTGTGTAAGGTCATCAGCTCATCTCAACAAACATCTCAACAGACCTGATTGTTCAAAAAATATATCATAAACAAAGTCGCAAAAAAAGAGGACAAGGTCTATTCATACAATTCATAATTATTCATATCAAAAAATGTTGTTATGTTATTTTGTTCACGACAAAACCAATCAATATTCATTCATGGAACGTATAGATATGAAGATTGTCCTCTGAATAACTCTGTCATATATATATATATATATGTATTTTTTTTGACAAAGATGCTTTTGGTGCCTTACTCTTACCTTTGCCTTTTTACTTTGCAATGTCAATTTCATCTTCAAGTTTATCTATTCTTTCCTTTTCCATAAGGCTGCTGTCATTCTACCGTAACTGACCCATATTATGTACCTTATTTCTATCTCCTTCATGTAGCATTTCCTTACCTTAATCTTTTTCACTAACTAACTGCATTCTGCTTCAACATTTCTATTTGCTATTTAGAAACTGATACCGTTTATTTTTTCATGGTGCTAATTCTAATGGTGTAAGTTCAGAGGTTGAATATATGAGATATGACTACGTGAATTCTGTTTTAAACATTGTTGCAGGTATTGCTTTTTCTGGTGGTTTGATTTCTAATATTTATAATACTGCAGATAATGTAAATCTGCTAATACAAAGGAATGGAGTAGATTACATAACCCTAACTAAATTAGATATAATTGATTTAGAGAAGCAAACATATATAAAAGCAAATGGTTTAGCGCTAACCATTGAAGATACTGTAGATGGATACTTTAAAATTGGTGATGGTAAAAGTATTGATTGTTGGACTGGAGGAGTAGGTCAAGAGATGCAGTTGAACTATATTTCTAAAAGCGGTGTAAGGATGGGCAATACTGCTGGTTATTTAGCAATCAGTGGATTAAGGAATGGAACAGATATACTAAATTATCAATGGTGCTATTCAAATACGTCCTGCGGGTCGAGAGGGGGGGGGGCCCTGGTGGGCCCCAGCAAGGGGGGGGTCGGCCAAAAAAAGAACAGCAACAAAACATGTTTTGTTGCTTTCTTTGTTTTTCGTCCGACCCCCCCAAACCTGCTAGTCTTAGTTATATTTAATAGTTTTTAAACACAATTTGATTGGTTTGTTTGACATATAGAATGTACATGTTGTTTTCCTATATGTCTTGAAAAGATGTGTTTAATATGTGTTTACTAATTATTTTGTTGTGCTATGTGTTCTGGGTACTGTTTTTGTTTTGCTGAATGTATGTGTTTTCACTATATCTTTAGTTCTTTTAAATCACGATTTTGTCGTGTTTTCGGGAGGCCTGTGGTCCCCTGTTCTGTTTTAATATAGGATTATTCTGAGGTAAAAAAAATGGGCTGTTCTAGCAAGGAGAGAAACTGTGATGACCCCAACCTTGCCATTGCGGATGTCCTAATTGCTCACCATCGCTGAACACATTTCAGATGTCCTAACTACTGTAAATCTCGAGAAACCATCTTCCTTGGAACGTTGAGGGTGAACTGCATTTGGGCAGAGAAGACTTTCTGTGTCACCAAACTATCACAGTCGCATATTACAACTCAACTCGTTCAAACATCACGAAAGGTAGCTTGAGCTACCTGAGTTCTCCTTGCTTTAGCAAAAATGTATTGCAATCAGGAGTTGGGATTGTGCATTGAGTTTGAGTTTGGTCCTGTAAGAGTTGATTCTGTTCGTCGGGGGGGGTGCCCCACGGGCCCCCCCCCCCCTGGATCAAATCCCCCCTGCGCCGGTTCAGGCCGTCATGGACTTCTAGCAGGGTTACTTGTGATTGCCTGCTACCTTTCGTTCACCCCCGGCCCCTCCTCTCTCAAGTTATCTTCAGCATGAGGAGCTGGACTGGTTCATGAACGAGGCAGGGATGGGCAGGCAACTTGCCCCAACATGTCCTGCGTTTGTTCGCCGAAATTAAGACATCTAGCAACCTCAACCTCATCTCCTTGTCTTTGATGGTGAACTAGGAGCTAGGATCTTCCAGGGTGGTGCTTTCAAGGCGTTGTGACATTGGCAGAGGCCTACTCATCACCGAGAGTGATTGTGTGATGATGAGTGAGTGTCAGGTCAGAGTGAAGTTAAGTATTTTCATGGAACATATGACATGGGTGTGTATTCTTTAGGGAGACCCCCAACCAATGGGTTTTTGGTCTTTGGCGTTTCATGCAAGCGTCGCCTGCCATGGTCACCCTCAGCTTTGCGTAAGGTGAACATAAATTAGATCCTCAGCATCGTGCAAAATGGAAAATGCTAACTGCCATATGGTTCATCCGTGTGGCGAACCTTCACTCCCGGCCGCCAGGCCGCCTTCAAATTATAAGTGGAACGCCTTCCTTGATGGAAGTACTCCCATAAAGCTGTACAAACCTCATGTCTGTTCGGAACAACGAACTGCCCACTAATGTAAGTGGTAGCGCTAAGGTAACCCAAGCGTCGAAGACCGCCTCGGGTGCAAACAAACGAGAAGGCATGTAGGTGTGACGACACCCACTTCATGAATTGCACAAAGATCCGAAGCTGACCGTTCAGATCTGCCGCACTAGTGTCTGCTGCAAGAGAGTTCTCCCGAAGGACATAGGCCGAAGGCCTTGCTTTAGTCTTTTTCTTAAAAGCACGAACATAGACCGGAGTCATAGTTCCTGTCGACAGTGCAAATGAAACGTAGAGCTCGAGCAAACTAGAAGCCTGTTCGTCAGGAACGTTGTCAATGAAACCAACGTGTTGGAACCATTGTAAAAACCTGTCCGTGAACTCTTTACCGAAAGGTGCATCGTCGCCGACATCGTCACCCAAGTAATGAAACGGATAAGTACACGGCTTTCGTGAGAAAAAATTGTCAAAAGTAGGTGTTGTCTGTGTAGTCGAATTGTGTTGGTTATCCGACTTTGCCATAGCTTTGGTCGTGGCTGTAACCCAAAACCTATGGAAGTCGTGAAGTCTCTGTGCCTGATGTTCAACATCCCCGGCAAGCTTTGTCAACTTGTTCAAAACACTCTTGTGGTCGTGCAGGATGACTTGCTTGGCAACCCTGTCAACAACGTCATTCCATCTTCCCGCCCACCTGACAAACGCAGAACTACTGGTTTGCCAGTCAACATGCGAGTCAACTTTGGTGATGTGTATCAGATTGGGTGGGCGTTGGAGGATGTGAACCCAAATGCACTGCCAAATATCCCAATGTTTGCATGGTACAATATGTGTGCCCAGGCGACGCGCCATGAGAAAGGATTGCAACAAGTCCACAACAGCAGAACAATCCGTGAAAAACTGTGGAGCCCATACACTCTGCAAGGCTAGCAAAATAGCCCACGCCTCTCCTCGGTAGGAACTGTGATCAGCCCCTGGGACCAAAGAGGCCTCCAATACTGAACAACAATCCCCGTCAACTGCAATAGCCGCCCCTGAGGAGATGGTGAATTGCGGTGTGTCTTGTAGGAAGGCCGACCCATCAGAAAAGACAGTACAAGGGCTTGCTTGAGGAGGCACTGAGAGTGCGGCCACTGGTCTGGCAACTGACACTTCACCTGCCACCCCTCCCAAGACGTTTCTGCAATGCCGAAATTCCAGAACGCTTCGGGCATCTGCCCCAAGGTTCTAAACAACACGTGATATTCTTTGCGCAACTCCTGAAGAGCACCACAATGAAACACTCTGTGCTGTTTGGAGTCGACTTCCCCACACAATGCACACTTGTCATCCTTGACATTTCGACTATAATGACAAAGGGCGTTGCGTGTAACATTTTTTCCAACAGCAAGTGCCAACAAGGAGCCTCGATCTCGCTCATCGAACTGGCGGAAAGATTTGTCGAAGATTGCTTGGTCAAAGGCCGCAATATCAAAACCCTTCCTATGGGCAAGTTGCACCAAAACTTGGTGAGTCCAAGCTGCATGCATGATGTGTCGAACATGTTTACAGGAGTCATTGATCCAATTGGCCTTCAATCCGGAGCTATGGCGAATAACACCCCCGGATAAACATTTCCAACCCACGCAAACCAGGGCCGCTTGTAGAATGGCTGCTGGACCGACACATCTCTGACCATCCAAAGTCAAACGTCGCAAGAATCCCGCGCGATCCCAAGGATGAAAACAGAAATATTTCCTCCAGAAGCGAAATTTGCGAAGGATATCAGCAAGTTGAGGATCGGTCAACTTGCCGCAAACACTTGTGGATAGCCAGGGGTTAGCCCCGGAGCGGTACCTACCCAAACATTGCACCATGGAGGTACGTATTGTTCGCCATTCAGCCTCCGTGCGGTTCACCAATGCCGCTCCATGTGCAATGACACCAGTTACAATGGTATTGGTCATCACCTTCTTGAACTGTTTAGGCAGCATCTTCCGGTGTGTCCGGTCGAGGGCCCGTTTGGTCTTTTGTAATCGTAATCGACTTTTAGTTTTGACCTTGGCCTTGCCATAGGAAACATCACAACCAAGGTCCGTGGCACGATGGTAGACAGCAACTGGGCGACCGTAAATGGCTGTATGTTGAATCTTCTGCCGACCTTTGGACGTGTTGGACCACACCCAACTCTTCTCAGGACTAATAGCCATTTGCAAAAAATCTGTGAACATCTCCAATCGCCTCGTGGCTGCTCGAAGAGTGTTGGATGTATTGCAAATAATTCCCCAATTGTCAGCAAAAAAGTTGGGTTCAACCTCGGGATGATGAAAAGTTAAATAGGATGACGCCCACACACTCAGCATAAGCATGACAGCAACGCTGAACGCACAGCCCTCGGAAAGCCACAGGTGGACCGAATAGGTTGTCCGATCTGGTGCGAAAGTTCGGCATATCTGGCCACATCGTCAAGCATACCTTCAAGGGCGCGAAGGTAAGCAACCGGAATACCCATCAACATCAGTGCCACTAACAACGGGATCCTCGGGATCCGGTTGAAGCATTTGACAAGGTCGACGACCAACCCGAACACTTCACAACCATCCTCTGTTGCTTCGTCAACCACGATCAATGTACGAGCAATAACCATGTCAGCACTCAATCCTGATGCCGCCCCTGAAACTCCACTGTGAACAACCGAAACAAGCTGGCTGATGACCTCCTCGGAACGAAGTTTGGCCCAGCACCTGTACAACCGGCTCAAGATCGTGATAGGTCTACAGTCCAACGGTGACGTGGCGGGCGAATCGCCCTTGGACAACATCACAACCTTGGCAGAAGTTAACCTAGAGGGCCACTGACCTGTCAGTTCAATGGTGTCGAACATCCTGAACAACCAAGCTTTCAAGTCTGGAGGAAGAATCTTAAGCTCCGCCGGCGTAAAGGCATCGGCTCCCCGAGCGCTCCGCTTAGGAACTCGTTTAAGCATGTTATCCCAACGTTCATCTGTGAACTGCGTGGGCGAGAAGGCTTGGACATCAGGAAGGCACTCGAGTGTTTGAATGGCATCCTGCCAGTTTGCACGACTGTCATTTGGAGGCTCGCGGTTCCACAGCTCACCCCAAGAAGCAGAAATCATTTCCTGCATTTGACTGTTCTGAGCAGTGAGCACACGTTGAATCGCAACCAATGGCATACCTGCCTTGCACACCACAGGTGTCTGAAGAAACAATGTGCAACCCTCACGTCTCAAAATCAGTGATTGCTGTCCCTGGAAGATGATGGGTAGATTATCATCAAACTTGTCCGGAACAGCCTCAAGAATAATGGAGGAATTTCCGCATTTGCACCACCGTTGTCGAGCAACCGGGATTTGCAATTGAAAGGCCACGAATTCGACAGGTGGAACAGCCAAATCTTTTACCGTTTGGAAGGCCTGTCTTCCCCCGTTCGCAATATCTGCCAACAACTTGGTCCTGCGGGTCTTGTACCGAGTGGCGTTGGCTTCCTTAACCTTAAGGTCAACAACACCACGAAGAGCCACAGCAATCTCATTGACATTCGAGTCATTAGGGCAAGACCACGGGACAAACAAATGAAGAACATCGAAAGCCCACCAACAGAACCCACCCGGGAAACCCTTGGCCTCGTAGATGGCTTTCCACAGATCCTCAAGCTGCATCCATGCCCTGGTACACGGTCGGACCACCCATGCACGATATTGAGACTGAAAACTTCTCAAACGTCGCAATTGTTTGATCCACCTTCTCAAGGTATTACACGGCTGTGAAATAGGAAAGTGAATATCACCCTCCCGACCCAGGTGGAGTCTGGGCGCAGCTGGTTTTCTTACCACCGACAACGCTTTACGGCACTTGCCACGAAAGGTCGGAAGAAGTCTAACAAGGTTGCCGCACACATTAACTGCGCTGTTGGCAAGAACTTCTTCGCAAGCTAAACAAGAATGCTTCAACATGTGCTCGGTGTCTCCCTCAATCTGAGCCGAGTCAAAATGATGTAAATGCTTATTAATGTAACAAGCAGCGTGTTCTTGCATCAGGCCCGGATCAAAAATAAACCCATCAGTAGTTGTGGGCAGCTGCCAATGGATTTGAGGCATCAAAGTAGTCTGCCAGCGGAAATGAGCCTTAAGAATGGGATGGCAATTAAACAAAAACGGCTTAAAGGTTCTACACAAGGTGAGATGTTCTGCAAGCGTGCCGTTTACCAGAATAAAGGATCGTCTGGTGGAGCCTGAGGATGTTGGCTCAGGTGTCCAACCGAAACGAGATTCCGCCAGAACTGCACAGTCATGCCAACCTCTCGATCTCAGCCATTTCCAGACAGGATCATCTTCGATTTCAATGTTGAAGTCACCCACTATAGATGCCGGACCTTTGAAGCAATCAGCCCTACAGGCGGCCTCAGAGAACAAGGCATGAAACAAAGCCTCCGGATTTGCAAAGGAACCGCCTCTTACGGGCCCGTACAAACATGCACAGTAGGCAGCAACTTCAG